TGGGGCAAGCCGCCATCAACGTGGCGCTGCACTACGGCTGCGAGGTTTTCACCACAGTCGGCACTCCCGAGAAGAGGGCCTTCATCAAGAAACTTTTCCCACAACTCAAAGGTTTGCGGAAATCTATAGCTAAATCGAATATGTTATATAGATTGGTGTGGTAATTCTTTTTTTTCAACAGATAGTCACATTGGCAACTCTCGAGACACATCATTCGAAGACATGATCAGACGCGAAACCAAAGGGAAGGGTGTTGATGTTGTTCTGAATTCCCTGGCCGATGAGAAATTGCAGGTAAAATAAAAAACCAAAATCAAAATTGGAATTTACATTCTCGACTGCATATTTCCAGACTTCATAGCTGGCTTGTTGATGTTCCCAGGCGTCGGTGCGTTGCCTAGGTTACCGCGGCCGCTTCTTAGAGATTGGCAAGTTCGACATCAGCAACAACACGCCCATCGGCATGTACTACTTCCTCAAGGAGACCTCCTTCCACGGCATCATGTTGGACTACATCTTTGATCAGAACGTCGAGTTCAGGAAGGTCAGTGAAATAAAAAAAAATCACAAGATTCGTGGTATATATGCTAAACAAAAACATAGTAATAATTCTTTTTATAAGAATCTTTGCGATTACATGGGAATGTATTTTTTTAGAAACTGCAAGATCTTCTGCTGACCGGTATCGAGAGCGGCGCTGTGAGACCTCTCACTTATTGCATCTTCGAGAAGGATGAAGTGGAACAAGCCTTCAGATACATGGCGGCCGGAAAACACATCGGCAAGGTCATTATACACACACAACTTTGAATTTCACAGTGGTAGTGCCCGCTTTAACATCTTAGCACGAATAGGCCGGCACATCCGGTGAAATACCACGACCACACAGAAGACAGGCGTGAAATAGAAACAATTCCGTGTTTCGTCTGATGAGTGTGGTGCCGGAGGCCTAATTTAAGTCGCTTTCTCTTTACCACCCTTTTCTTATAAGGAGAGGTTGGGAAGAGGAAGTGGATTTGACAGTGGAGGAGATGCATAGGAAGGGGAAATATACTCTTTATGTGCGTCTCCTCCTCTGTCGGATAAGGGTAGGCAACGCATCTGCAATTGCGGATGTCTATGGGCAGCGGTCGCTTCGCCATTTTGGCGTTTTCAGGTGGCCAATGCTCGTTTGCTACCTTATGTTATAAAGAAAAAAAAATTATATCTATATCTCTCCAATCTTGTTACTGAATAGTGAATATTTCAGTGCTTTGACTGTATAGCTTTTTTTTAGGTAATCGTGAAAATCCGTGACGAAGAGCGCAGCAACCGACCAGTTAAACCTACGCCCATACTGATGGATGCAGTTCCAAGGTAACTTTTAGTTTAATTATTTTAAAAAGTTATTTAAAGGCTATGCCGATTCACCTCATCCTATGTTCTTCTGACCATTTCTTATCATGAACTTGCCCTTAACCCTAAGAAGAGTCGGCACAGTATGTGCTGCTCTTCGATACACTTTTATCAACCTTCATAACTGGATCCACTCCCTTCTTAAGGATATCCTCTTGCATAAAATCCATCCATTCTCTCTTCGGTTTTGGATGGAAAGTAGAGATACTTTCCTTCTTGCACAAAATCTATCCATTCTTTCTTCGGTCTTCCTCTACTTTTGTAACCATCCTTATTCAATATACTACAACATCCTTATTCAAAATACTTTTTTTTATATCCCCGTTTTGTCGCATAACATGTCCATACCAAACTAACCTTTTGCTTCTCAAGTTCTCTGCCACTGGCGCTACTTTCAAACATTCTCTAATATACAATTTTTCAATTCCCTTCCCTTTCTAATTATGCCTTCTTGTAACACCTCACATCCCTCTTAACGCATGGTCTTCTGACTGTTTCTACATAATAACATTTAGAGTTTATATAACGTGTGTACGTAGGTATACCTGCCAGGATGAGCTGGTGTACGTGGTGGTGGGCGGGCTGGGCGGCTTCGGCCTGGAGCTGGCGGACTGGCTCATCATGCGCGGCGCCAGGAAGGTGCTGCTCACCTCGCGCAGGGGAATCACCAACGGGTACCAGTCCAGCAGGATCAGGTAAACACCAAGTATTCTTACACACCATCTTTATTTAACAAGCATAAGCAATTTTTATGAAGTTTTAATTGTAATAACCAATGTACAGTTAGAGTTAACAATTAGGGTGTCATATTTTTAGTGATGATTGAAGGCTTTGAGAGGGAAAGTAAAAAAAATGTGTGTTTTAGAGCGTGGACTGGCTACGGCGCCGATGTTCGCATCTCCACTCACGACGTGGTGACGGAAGCTGGATGTGAGGAAATGCTGAAGATGGCCAACTCCATGGGCCCCGTGGAGGCGATCTTCAACCTCGCCGTCATCCTCAAGGACTCCATATTCCAGAACCAGACGCCGGAGACGTTCAAAACATCGTTTGCACCGAAAGCGCTCGCCACTATGAATTTGGACAAATTATCGAGGAAACTTTGCCCTGGATTGAAGTGAGTTTAGACTGTAAACCTTAGAACATACCGAAATAGAACGAAACTTGGAAGAAAACAACTACTATGCAAGAATTCTTGTAAAGCCAATCATTTCTTTACTCTTTACATTTAATTATAATAATTAAATTTACTTTTAACAGGGACTTTGTAATATTTTCGTCTGTCTCGTGCGGGCGCGGCAACGCCGGACAAACCAACTACGGTCTCTCGAACTCCGTGATGGAGAGGATCTGCGAGTGGAGGAAGAAACTGTGTCTGCCAGCCCTCGCTGTGCAGTGGGGCG